GTGCACCTCTCAAAAAATGTAACTACACGTCGCAACGACGCGTAGTGCAAGCTCTGTGATTGGTCGGCTTGGTAGTACTGACGAGTCGGGGCGGGACCGAGAGCCGCCCGAATGGCGTGAACCCAATGTAGCGATTGTTTACAAGTGTGGAGTCCCGTGAAGGAGCTCCGGATGGAAAGTTTTGTTTTGTGTTTACCTCATAGTTAAAGTTGTTGCACGTCCACCGGTTCCTGCCTCAAAATGAGCGAGTTTGAGCCACTTGTACATCCCGGAAGTGTTCAGGAAAAGCAAAAATGCAGCGAAGAAACTCGACACAGAGGAAGATTTACACCTCACTGCCAACTAGCGTTTCCAACTAGCAGAAGTATAAATGCACAGCCACGCGCGTTGCCTGCGCTGTGAGTTACGCCGGTCACTTGACGCAGAAGTATAAATCAGGCTTAACAGGCTCCCTGAGGTCCTCATGCCCACCCAGCAACACAACTGATTCACATTAGACTAGGAAAATGAAAACAAAATACACAAATAACATACAATTATGTCATAAAATGCTTAGTCTTGTTTGGTATATTGGTCAGAAAATTTATTTATTGAATGTGACGTATATCATAGAAAGTTTATTGCTGTATCTGCTCTATATATCTTTCATCTTTACAATAATGACTCCCAAGCAGCCTCCTGTTGGGTCCTAGTGCCTGCCCTATTCAATTAAATTCATCTTTATTTCTCTAGCGCTTTTACAATGTAGATTGTGTCAAAGCAGCTTAACATAGAAGATTTTAGTAGCTGTAATCTGTATCAGTCCAGTTTTCAGAGTTAAAGTTCAGTTTAGTTCAGTTCAGTGTGGTTTAATTTTCACTGCTGAAAGTCCAAACACTGAAGAGCAAATCCATCGATGTGTAGCTCAACAAGTCTCAAACCAAACAAGTCAGTGGCGACATTGGCGAGGAACAAAACTTCATGCACTAGATAAAAATATTAAAGAAAAAAGTTCTATCTAGGAACAAAGCATGAATTTTAATTCATTGTGAGAAGCTAACTCTTATGGGAAACAAAAGTCTCAAATTGACCTGTAAATTAAGGTCAAATCCCAATTCTATTTCTGTACCCCTGCCTCTTCCCCTTGGCCCTTCAAACCGAGTGTGAAGGGGAAGGGCTTCAAAATTTACCCCGCAAGAAACGGGACAGCACTACAGCACCTGCACACGTCATCATATGTCTTTGTGAGCTCTTGCTTTATATGAGATTGACGATGGCGACTGCTGCATTATTTTTTGGTATTTATCTTCAGGAGATCACTGACGGCATATACTATGTTATCATAACGATCTAATGTGGCAATAAGATCGTAACTTCACTGTGTATTTAAACAGTGGCCATATTCATCAATGTAAACACACCAAAAACAACATTAACGTTATAGCGGACACTGTACAAAGCTCATTCCCAGAACTAAACTTTTCTAACTGGATGTTTCAGTGTAATCGAGTATCAGAATGTTGTAGGACTGATGTACAGGAGTTATTATTATGGATTATAGATAGCAAAATTTAGCGTTTTTTTTTTTTTTTTTTAATTAATTAATTAATTTATTTATTTTTTAAATATTTTTTTATTTATTGTTATTTATTTATTTTTTTATATTTTTTTAATTTATTGTTGTTTATTTATTTTTTAACATTTTTTTTTTTTTTAAGCATGACGGTAAAACACGAACACAGTTATAAATATATTAAAACGTGTTTGTTTGTCGTAAAAAAAAATGTAATAATGACAAAAAAATACTAATTTGAGCATCTCCTTGGCTGGTGTATTTTGGGAAATTTTCTTAGCCCCTGGTTTCGAGTGTGCTCCTGAAAAATCTGTCTTTCTTTTATCTATCTAGCCCTTCCTCTTAGCACTATGCCTTCAAGCTAGAGAATTGGGGCACCCCTACCACCTTCACGTGAACACACAAAACAAGGAGTAGGCGGTGAGGGGAAGAGCTAGGGCAGTGGTCACCAAACTTGTTCCTGGTGGGCTGGTGTGCTGCAGATTTTAGCTCCAACCCTAATCAAACACACCTGATCAAGCTAATCAAGGTCTTGCTAGGTATACTTGAAACATCCAGGCAGATGTGTTGTGGCAAGTTGGAGCTAAACCCTGCGGGGACACCGGCCCACCAGGACAGAGATTGGTGACCCCTGAGCTAGGGGGTAGAATTAGGATTGGGCCTAAATAGTCAATTAACTCATTTCAGAGACGCACAGACAGAAAAAAATTTGATAATCGACATTAGCTTAGCCAATAAGAGTTTAAAGGGCCATGAAACCTCCTCATTTCAGCAGGTTGTTTTCACACCTCTACTTTGGAAAAAGTCAGAAAAGTGGGCGTGTCTAGCTCTGTTTAGGGGGGAGTGTCGGAGGAACTAAAGTGGGATGGTGTGGGAGTGTCTATTTGGGCACGCGCGAGTTTTAGAGTCAAAACACACACACACACATACACACACACACACACACACACACACACACACACACACACACACACACACACACACACACACACACACACACACACACACACACACAGTAGAAAGTGATGGTGTTTAACCTACATGGTCATCTGTAGTCGAATTATTTGCCAAATTATTAAATGGTGGACTTTAACTGCAGTTTGGCTCTTTGATTCAGGGAATTCATTCATGTCCCTCGCGACAAACAAGATATTTGATTCGAGGATCTGCTCTAAGCGTGTATTTTTCATGCAATGTTTGATACCGCACGGCGAATGAGAGAAAAAAACCTCTGCATTTCCCGGAAACTTAGATGCACACGGCAGGTAGCGTCAGAAAGCCGCGTGTGTTATTCCGGTCACAAAATGCGGTAAAAACCCTACACAAGGTTAAAGTTTGGTTGTGGTGCTAACATGTTTACACTCGGTGCAATGGTTAACATAGTTCGATATGAACAAACTGAATAAACAAAGAGCACTGGTCGCTCACTTACCAAATCTGTAGAGACAGGACAATCACCAGCAACTAGAGCCGCGTCTTTATTAAGAGAAGACTACAAGCGAATCCGGATCTCTGCGTTTGCAGATGAGAACAGCTCTCAGGTAAACAATAATCCTCCTTAGACTCGTAAGTTATTGTTGTCGCGCGTCGCGTACACTGTTAATCCACGCGACTCCAGCTAAGCTCTCACAGAGAGAAAATGAAAACAAAACTTAACGGCAGCAAACAATAAAAGCAACACTTCACGCTTGTTTTGCCAACACAACGTGGTGTCTCTGTCGTCTAAACACGGTGACAGTTATGAATATTAATGAAGTTGCACAATAGAGCGCGCTGATTGGTTTGAGCCATGCCTTACTCATGCATTAATGCATCACACTGTAAGACGTAATAAGACTGACTCTGGCACAGACGTCCAGTCTGCACGCTGGAATACAACACTATTATGTCATGACCATGACGCAGCTTCAAAAATTCGTTTCAAACCGGAAGTATGAATTTGCTTGAAATAACGCAAAAACAACCAATTTACACTTTTTAGCTAAATATAGGTGTCCTAATAGTGTTTTTAGCAGTGTGGGACACATATACGACTGTCAACAGCTCAAAACATGTGTTTTGGTGTTTCGTGACCCTTTAAAAATATCTGCAAAACATCTAGACCTAATCCCAATTCTATTTTTGTACCCCTTTCCCTTGGCTCTTACAACCGAGGGTTAAGGGGAAGGGCTTCAAAATTTGCCTCTAAGAATTGGGACAGCACTACAGCACCTGCACATGTCATCATATGTCCTCGCGATCTCCTGCTTCTTTTGTGAGATCAGACGATCGCGACTGCTGTAGTGATTCCAGTTGTGTTATGTTTTGTTTTTTATCTTCAGGAGATCACTGACGGCATATATTATGTTATCATAACGATCTAATGTGGCAATAAGTTCGTAACTCTACTGTGTAGTTAAACAGTGGCCATATTCATCAATGTAAACACACCAAAAACAACATTAACGTTATAGCAGACACGGTAAAATGCCAATTGACAGCCACTAGACATAAGGGTATTCGAGTGTCAGAATGCTGTGGAACTGCTGTACAGGAGTTATTTAATAGAGATTATAGATTGCGAAATTTAGCGGTTATTTTTAGCGGTTTCTTTTTTTAAAGCATGACGGTAAAACACGAAAACAGTTATGAATATATTAAAACAAGTGTTTGTTTGTAGTAAAAATTCGTAATAACAACAAAAAATACCAATTTGTGGATCTCCTTACTTCCGGGTTCAGCAATACTGCCACTGTGGCTGGTGCATTCTGGGAATTTTCTTACCCCTTGGTTTCAGGTGTGGTCCTGAAAAATCTTCGTTCGAAGGGCTATTCACCGCTTCCCCTTAGCCCTACGCCTTCAAGCTAAAGAGAATTGGGACACCCCTACCCCTTGGCGTGCACGCGCAAAACGAGGGCTAAAGGGGTAGAATTGGGATTGGGCCCTAATATTGTGCATTCATAGTATATTCAACAAGGTCCAAATAGAAAATAAAGTCCTTTTCATTTTCATTTTCTTGGATACTTATTTGAATAACTACAGTATTTTGTGAAATATATTATTAATATAAAGCTCAGGTTTGCCCCACAGTCCAAACACATGCGCTATAGGCGAATTAAATAAACTGAATTGGCCGTAGTGCATGAGTGTGTGTGAGTGTGTATGGATGTTTCCCAGTACTAGGTTGCAGTTGGAAGGTTTGCAGTGTGTAAAACATATGCTGGATAAGTTGGCGGTTCATTCTGCTGTGGCGACCAATGATAAATAACGAGGCTAAGTTGAAAGAAAATAAATAAATGAATGAAATATTAATATGAAATAATAATTACTCAAACAGTGAAATGCATTTTTGGTCATACCGCCCCCCTTAAGTTCTTAATCTAATGCGTATATTTATGCATTTAGATATTTTTAGCATCTTTAAAGTATATGCATATGCTTTAATACTAATCATTGCCTTTCTTTACAGGGAGAACAGGGTCCTGTTGGAGAAGCTGGAGCCAAAGGCTATCCTGGCAGGCAGGTGCAGTAGATCTTCCTCTGCTGTGGAGTGTGGTGTTTATGTGTGTGTGTGTCTGTGTTCGGTCTGAGTGTGTTTTGCTTTGTTTTCATTGACTGTTCATGGAAAATATGCAATTAATTTAGCATTATGGTGCCCTGGCATTGGGTTTTGTTCAGTTTAACTGCAGGGCATGATTGAAAGTCTCAGTGTTCAATTAATGGAAAGGATGCAGTCGTTCGCTGTGGTGCTTGGTATCGAGATGTTTTGACATGCTTGTGTTGTTTTCATTGATGGAGCTGTGGATTTAATCAGATGGCAGCTGAATAAAATATACACCCAGAACCACAAGCGTGCTCTTTTGAACACATCTTGAGCTGATAGAAGCTGCTCGTGTTGAACTACTTGAAGTGGTTCTATACTATATGGCAGCCCTAAGCTAATGGTAACTATTTAAAACAATATTTAATGAAGATTATTTGTTTGGTAATTACCTGATTTATGTGAGTTAATGTACACAATGTCAGCGATATTGTAGTTGGGTAACTGTAAAACCACAAATTCAATATAAATTAAAGATATTACATGAATGAGGGAAAACTTTGTTGTAGTGTTTTTTGTAAATCTCATTTTAATGGATGGATTGATTGATTGATTGACCGTTAGATGGACGGACGGATGGATGGACGGATGGATGGATGGATGGATAGATGGATGGATAGATGGATATAGACATAGATATAGACATGGATGGTTGGTTGGATGGATGGATGGATATAGAGATATGGATGGATGGATGGATGAATGAATAGATAGATGGATGGATTGATGGATATAGACAGATAGTCTATATAATCTATACTCAGATAGTCAGTGGATGGTTAGATAGATGGATTGATGGATGGATGAATTGATTGATCGTTGAATGGATGAATGGATGGATTGATGGATATAGACATATATATATAGACTTGGATGGTTAGATAGATAAATGGATAGATAGATAGATAGATAGATAGATAGATAGATAGATAGATAGATAGATAGATAGATAGATAGATAGATAGATAGATAGATAGATAGATTGATTGATTGATTGATTGATTGATTGATTGATTGATGGACTGATGGACTGATGGATTAATGGATATAGACATAGATATAGACATGGATGATTGGATGGATGGATATAGAGAGATGGATGTATTGATGGATGGATGGATGGATAGATAGATGGATGGATTGATGTATGTAGACAGATATAGACATGGATGGTTAGATAATTGGATGGATGAATGGATGGATGGATATAGAGAGATAGATTGATGAATGGATGGATGGATGAATGGATATATAGATAGATGGATTGATGGATATAGACAGATATAGACGTGGATGGTTAGATAAATGGATGGATGGATTGATTGATTGTTAGATGATGGATGGGTGAATTGATTGATTGATTGATTGATTGATTGATTGATTGATTGATTGATTGATTGATTGATTGATTGATTGATTGATTGATTGATTGATTGATTGATTGATGGATGGATGGATGGATGGATGGATGGATTGATATAGACATAAATATAGACATGGATGGTTAGATGGATAGATTGAATGATTAACCGTTAGAGGAACGGATATATGGATGGATGGATAGATGGAAGGATGGATAGACGCATTAATGGATGGATGGATTGATGGATGGATGGATAGATTAATTGATCCTTAGATGGATGGATGGATGGATGGATGGATGGATGGATGGATGGATGGATGGATTGATGGATATAGACATAGATATAAACATGGATGGTTAGATAGATGAATAGATAGATGAATTGATTAATGGATGGGTTGATTGATTGATCGTTGGATGGATGGATGGACACACATTAAGAGATGGATGGATAGATGGATGGATGGATAACCAATGTCAGTGAAGTTACCAAATATGGTTATTCTCATAATAAAGGAACTAACTTGTTACTAAAATAAAGAAATAATAATTTAATATGTATATAAAAATAAACATTATTAAAATTAATAAAAATGAAATAAACCACAAACAACAAACTAGAAAACAATAGCTAATAAAAAAAAACTCTCACACACTGCAGTGATACTAAAATAGCAGTGTTCCTAAGCTTTGCCCATATTATTCAATCATTACCATGTTTCTTTTTATAATCAGACCAATTTACCAAAACAAAAAAAAATTATTTTGTGGCTCTATTTTATACATAAAGCCTATGATGAGCTCATTAAAATCTGATCAGGGTTTCAGTTCTTGTGGGCACACGAGTTTGGCTGCTTATCAAAAGAAACAAGCTCTTAATTTCAGCTCCTGTTTGTCTGTTAAATGAAGTGTGTTGATTTAAATCCTGTTACTGAGGTCTCTCTTTCTCTTCTCTTCTCTTCCAGGGTTTACCTGGTCCAATAGGGCCTGTTGGGCCGAAAGGTGCTCGGGTGTGTAAACGTCTCCTTCCCATTTGATGTATGATTGCAACTTACAATGCTGTCATTGTGACATTTGAGCCGCCCGTGGTTACCGTTGCTAGGTTATTTACATTGTTTGATCTTTTACAAAGCTGAAAGAGTCGACTTGCTTGAATTTTAAAGTCAAGTGATTTGACCTCGACTCCACGAGAGGCATTTCTTTTACTACTACAGCTCCTCTTTTCTCCCGTCTCCCCCTCATTTACTGCTTTTTCCTTTTTCTGTTTTTTGAGTCAACAGAGACTCAACCATGACAAATCTGCCGCTGACAGCTGCCCGAGCCATAAGTGTTCATTTATGTGTGTTTTTAGCCTCCTACGGTCACATTAACATGTTCACATGTACAGCCGCCTTCATTTATATTGCCCTGCCGTCTATTTGATGTATTTAGAAACAATTTATATTTGACTCTGCTTTTATATAGCTCTCTTTCACACACATACACACACACACACACACTCACACAGGCTTTAGCTGTTGTGTTTGTAGTTGAGCTCTATTAAAGGCTCTTTATCAGGCTAGACTCCGCCCACATTGGCTGGAATTTCCTGTTTAAAATCAGACTGAGGCCCTGCTGTCTTTAGACACCGCACATACACACACACATGCATGCATGTCTTCAAACGCACATTTGTGTAAAAGCACCTTGCATGGAGTTGTCAGCGTGCCTTTTTGAAAGTGGTGGACAATAACAGATTGTGTTTTACTTTGTTGCTGCACTTAATTACATTTTTTAATTATCTGTAATTGATCTGATTAATTTTTTGACAGAGTCCATGCATTTCAAAGCATGATAATGTACTATTTAAATCCACTGTGCTTCATCAAAATTATATTGCTTGTTATTTTGCACTGGAGAGATTGTCACCCACTTTGAGTTTGATTCTTTTACTTGTTAAATTGGTTCACAGATCAGTCTAAATCATTCCTTTGTGAATTCCATACATTTGATCTGATTGACTGAATCAGTCTGCAGATTGAGTCTCCAGTTAATGATTCTCTAATTTAAATGATCTGGATAGAGCAAGTTTTCAATGAACGATTCACTGACTCTAATGATTCAGAAAGGGTGAGTCTCCACTTCACCGAATCAGTTCACTGATTCATATTGTCCAGTCAGAGTGAATCTCCAGTTAACGATTCACTGATTTAAATGATCTGGACAGGCCAAGTCTCCAGGTAACGATTCACTTACTCAAATGCTTTAGTCAGAGTGAGTCTCCAGTTCATGAATTGCTTCATAGATTCTCCAGTTGTGCACTCACTGACTCAAATAATCCACTTGGAATGAGTCTCCAGTGAACAATTCACTGATTCAAAAGATCTGGACAGAGCAAATCTCCAGTTGTCCACTCACTGACTCGAATTATTTAGTCAGAGTGAGTCTCCATTGAATAATTCATTGGTTCTAATTATTAGGACAGAGCAAGTCTCTAGTGAATGATTCACTGATTCTAATGATTCGGACAGAGCAAGTCTCCAGTTTTCCACTCACTCACTCAAATGATTTAGTCAGAGTGAGTCTCCAGTGAACGATTCACTGATTCTAAGGATCCTGACAAAGAACGTCTTCGGTTGTCCACTTACTGACTCAAATGATTTAGTCAGAGTGAGCCTCCAGTGAACAATTCACTGATTCTAATGATTCGGACAGAGCAAGTCTCCAGTTGTCCACTCACTGACTCAAATGATTTAGTTAGAGTGAGACTCCAGTGAATGATTCACAGATTCTAATGATTCGGAAAGGGCAAGTCTCCAGTTGTCCACTCACTGACTCAAATGATCCAGTCAGAGTGAGTCTCCAGTGAATGATTCACTGGTTCTAAGGATCCTGACAGAGCAAGTCTCCAGTTGTCCACTTACTGACTCAAATGATCCATTCAGAGTGAGTCTCCAGTGAATGATTCACTGATTCTAATGATTCGGACAAAGCAAGTCTCCAGTTGTCCACTTACTGACCTAAATGATTTAGTCAGTGTGAGTCTCATGTGAACGATTCACTTATTCTAAGGATCCTGACAGAGAAAGTCTCCAGGTGTCCACTTACTGACTCAAATGATCCATTCAGAGTGAGTCTCCAGTGAATGATTCACTGATTCAAAAGGTCTGGAAAGAGCAAGTGTCCAGTTGTTCACTCACTGAGTCAAATAATCCATTCAGTGTGAGCCTCCAGTCAACGATTTACTGATTCTAATGATTCGGACAGAGCAAGTCTCCTGTTGTTCACTCTCTGACTTAAATGAACCAGTTAGAGTGATTCAAATGTTTAACTCTGAATGAGCCTCCAGCGAGCGATTCACTGATTCAAAAGATCTGGAAAGAGCAAGACTGCTGTTAATAATCTATTGTTTAAAATTATTCAGTAATAACCCCTCATTGACTAAAAGAAAAACTGATCAGAGTAAGTCTTCAGTGAACGATTCACTGATTCAAATTATCTGATCAATGCAAGTTTCCAGGTAATGATTCACTGATTCAAACAATTCAGTCAAATTAATCTCCAGTTAACAATTAACTGATTCAAATGATTTGGTCAGAGTGATTCTCCACTTAACGATTCACTAATTATCTTCCACTGAGATTTTTCTTCTTGCCTCTGTAAAATATAATATTGATAAATCGAAAGCTAATATATTTTCATAGTGATCTTGAAGTGACATTTTGCCGTTTTATAACTGTTTTATATTGTATGTTTACATTTGGTAGCACACATTTGGTTTTCACTTATTTTTATTATGCTAGGCCACTGTACATGTTTTGTTGTTTTCATATGTTTGCATGATTGAATCGCCATTTATTTCTAGTGTCTGTACATTTATTGCAGTACTTGATCTGTGTACTTCATCCACCACTGCTTTTTGCTGGGTGTGTGTGAGAGTGAGTGGATCTCTTGTACCCTGTGTTTGTTTTCTGCATGTTTCCATCGTTGTTCCCTGAAGTGAGGGTATGTGCCCTTGGACTACATTGTGGAGGCCAGCACCATGCAGTCCATGGGCATATACACTTACTTCATGGCCTACATCAACACGAAGACGTCTGTTCATCCATTCAAGCACTTCTCCATTCATCTGCACGTCGGTGTGATCAAATCATGCATTGACGTGTGCTGCAGGAGGCACTAAACTCTTAATCTTTATTGTTTATTCACTTGGTCTCAGGTCATTGTCCTAAAGTTTTTAAGATCATAGGCTGATAGATCTTTGAAAGTACTGGGATAGCATACTAAACAAACACCTAGAATACCCTAGCAGATATCCAGAACACTTTAGCAACTACCTAGTATGTCCTCGCAACCACTTGGTAACAATTAAAACACTTTAGAAACAAGCTAGAACAAAGAGTGATATTCAGTGTCCTAGCATTCACAGAGAACCAACAGTGAAACCAACTAGACCACCTTAATAACATCTAAAATGTCTTAGCAACTACCTAGAACAGGGGGTGTCCAAATTCAGTCCTGGAGGGCTGGTGACCTGCAGATTTAAGCTCCAACTTGCTTCAACACACCAGCAGGGATGTTTCTAGAAAGTCTTGTAAGAGCTTGATTAGTTAGCCCAGGTGTGTCTGATTGGGGTTGGAACTAAACTTTGAAGGACACCGGCCCTCCAGGACCAAGTTTGTACACTCCTGACCTAGAACAACCAATCACCCACAATGACCTAGCAAACAGAAAGTGACCATCTAGAACACCTGAAAACTAATTATCAGTCAAAACAACCATAGCAACCATATAAAACACAATAGCAACCACCTGGAAAAACACAGGAACTACTTAGCAACTATTAAACACAATAGCCAACACCCAATCATCTCCAATGTACTATCAACAACATAGAACACTGGGAAACGTAGTTCGACCAGAACACATTAGGATCCAAATTGTGCCTCCTACACACCTTAGCAACCACTCATCAATTATGTAATCACCCTAGCAACCACACAGAACACTCAACAACCCAATGAAACACCCTAGCACAACTTAGCAACTTCCCAGATAATAATATAAAAATAACCACTCAGCAATTATGTAATCAACCTAGAAACTACTTAAAACTTCCATAGAACCACTAAGCAACTGCTAAATCAGCCACATAGAACACTCTAGCAACTATCCAGAACACTTAAGCAACCGCTTATTATCTTCTAGGAACCACTTGACGATTAAAACACTTAAGTAATTAGCTAGAACAACCAGTCATATACACTCACCGACCACTTTATTAGGTACACCTGTCCAACTGCTCATTAACACAAATTTCCAATCAGCCAATCACATGGCAGCAACTTAATGCATTTAGGCATGTAGACATGGTCAAGACGGTCTGCTGCAGTTCAAACCGAGCATCAGAATGGGGAAGAAAGGTGATTTAAGTGACTTTGAATGTGGCATGGTTGTTGGTGCCAGACGGGCTGGTCTGAGTATTTCAGAAACTGCTCATCTACAAGGATTTTCACACACGACCATCTCTAAGGTTTACAGAGAACGGTCTGAAAAAGAGAAAATATCCAGTAAACCCTATCGACTATAAATATTCTATTAGTACCAATTGAGCATCGTGTCAACACCACAGCCTACCTGAGTAGTGTTGCTGACCATATCCATCCCTTTATGACCACAGTGTAGCCATCTTCTGATGGCTACTTCGCTCTGTGGGCGCAAATGCCTTGTTGATGCCAGAGGAGAATGGCCAGACTTGTTTGAGCTGATAGAAATGCAACAGTACTCAAATAACCACTTGTTACAACTGAAATAAGCAGAGGAGCATCTGTGCACAACACGTCCAACCTTGAGGCGGATGGGCTACTGCAGCAGAACCCCACACCTGGTGCCACTGTTGTCAGCTCAGAACAGGAAACTGAGGCTACAATTCACACAGGCTCACCAAAGTTGGACAATAGAAGATTGGAAAAACGTTGCCGGGTCCCATTAGTCTTGATTTCTGCTGCAACATTTGGATGGTAGGGTCAGAATTTGGCATCAACAACATGAAAGCATGGATCCATTCTGCCTTGCATTAATGGCTTAGGCTGCTGGTGGTGGTGTAATGGTGTGGAGGATATTTTCTTGGCACACTTTGGGCCCATTAGTACCAATTAAGCATCGTGTCAACGCCACAGCATACCTGAGCATTATTGCTGACCATGCCCATCCCTTTATGACCACAGTATACCCTTCTTCTGATGGCTACTGGCGCCATGTCATAAACTGTGAATCATCTCAGAATGGTTTCTTGAACGTGACAATGAGTTCACTGTACTCAAATGGCCTCCACAGTCACCAGAGCTGAATCCAATAGAGCACTTTTGGGATGTGGTGAAATGGGAGATTCACATCATAGATGTGCAGCCGACAAATCTGCAGCAACAGTTTGATGCTATCATGTCAATCTAGACTAAAATCTCTGAGGAATATTTCTAGTGCCTTGTTGAATCTATGCCATGAAGGCAAAAGGGGGTCCAACCCGGTGCTAGTAAGGTGTACCTAATAAAGTGGCCGGTGAGTGCACAGTGCCTTAGCAACTACCAAAAACCCATCTTGAATCCATCTAGAGCACCGTAACAACTTAGAAACCTTCCCAGATCACCATAGAAACAGCCAAATAGTGCATCCTATACACATTTACAACCACATAGAATAAAAAGCAACCACTTAGCAACTATGTAACCACCCTAGCAACCACGAGAAACATCCTGAGCTAAACCCTATCAACATTTTGACAATCATATAGTACACAACACCTTAGCTTCCACATAGAACACCCTAGCAACCACTTAGCATCGACTAAGCCACCCAAGCAACCATTAATAACAGGGATGCCCAAACTCGCTCCTGGAGGGTCGGTGTCCTGCATAGTTTAGCTCCAACTTTCTTCAACACACCTCCCTGAAAGTTTCTAGTAAACCTAGAAAGAGCTTGATTAGCTGGTTCCGGTGTGTTTAATTGGGATTGGAACTAAAATATGCAGGACACCGGCCCTCTAGGACCGAGTTTGGACACCCCTGTTCTATGACATCCTGACAATCGATAGTTAGCACTCAGCAAATAACAATTCTATTCAAAACTTATCAACTACCTAGAATGATTGATCAACCACGTAGAACACCTTAACAACTGTATAAAACACCCCACACCACCTCTAGCTAACAGAATGATAACCTCTGATGCTGAAAATAAGAATGAGGTCTTTAAATTAGACTGTCCACAACAGGAATCATCATTGAGCTTCTCTCTGTTTCTCTATTCCTCTCTAGGGTTTCATAGGAATCCCAGGACTTTTCGGGTTACCTGGAGCTGATGGTGAAAGAGTGAGTGTGTGTTCATGTTTTGTCTTCGCCTATAAGTCACATGATTACAACAGACTCAAATGTTCCAGCAAATGGCTGTTGTGCAACGCCTCTAAAGCACTTCCCAGGAATCTATTAAACACCCACAGATACAAATGACTCACTGCGGTCACATCAGATTTCCTATTCACACAGTGTTATCTAACCATAAACACTCGTTTTATGAAGATTTAAAAATAATTCTGCACATTAGATTCATTTGTGCTCGGGCAAAGATCCGAAATATCAGTTTTACATTTTGAAAATATTCAAAGTTCAGCACATAACATTTATGAATGAAATAATTGCTCTTATATCATGTTAATTAGGGCTGTTGAAATATAATGAAGACTCAGTGGGTAGCACTGTCCCCTCACTGTAAGAAGGTCGCTGGTTTGAGTCACGGCTGGGTCAGTTGGCATTTCTGTGTTGATTATGCATGATCTCCCCGTATTGGTGTGGGTTTCCTCCGGGTGCTCCGGTTTCCCCCACAGTCCACATGCGCTATAGGTGAATTGAATAAGCTAAATTGGCCATAGTGTATAAGTGTGTGAATGAGGGTGTATGGATGTTTCCCAGTGCTGGGTTGCAGCTGGAAGGGCATTCGCTGTGTAAAACATGTGCTGAATAAGTTGGTAATTCATTCCGCTGGGATGGCCCCTGATGAGGACTAGGCTGAAGAAAATTGAATAAATGGATAAAATATAATGCTTTGACATTTAAAAAATTATTAGACAATGTATCAATACATACTGTACTTATTATTGTTATGATTGCAATATTACAGTATGTAGATCTTCAGTGTTCTTCTAGCTAGTTCTGGCATTTCTAATAATATTTTTGGATAATATATTATAACGCACTTACACACTCAACAGGATAGTATGTATGTAGTGGCGTCCCAAATGGCACACTAATGTTTTTTTACTAAGTGGAAATTCAAACCGTTTCCCTGATGACGTTTGACTGTTGCCAAATCAGTAAAATAAACGACCGAATTATCAAACAATTCCTGCCGTGAGTATTGCCGCATTCACCATTGGGAGGCGCTATAATCACTCTCGTAGGAGAATTTTGCTTTCACCATCCAAAGTAAATAGTTATCCAACATATGCGTCCGATAGCTCCGCCCCTTCCGCTACGTAAGCAAACCTGCGGTCGTTGAGTGCGTGAAGTGTCCATTATTACACACTTCAGCTGAGTCCCAAATGGCACACTATACATTATGCACTCATGCACTATGTACTTATGCACTTACACACTCAACAGGATAGTACATGTATGTAGTGGCGTCCCAAATGGCACACTAATGTTTTTTTACTAAGTGGAAATTCAAACCGTTTCCCTGATGACGTTTGACGGTTGCCAAATCAGTGAAATAAACGACCGAATTATCAAACAATACCTGCCGTGAGTATAATCGCATTCACCCTCGGGAGGCGCTATAATCACTCTCTTAAGAGAATTTTGCTTTCACCATCCAAAATAAGTAAAGTTATTCCTAATGTGATCCGATAGCTCCGCCCCTTCCGCTACGTAAGCAAACCTGCGGTCGTTGAGTGTGTGAAGTGTCCATCATTACACACTTCAGCTGCGTCCCAAATGGCACACTATACACTATGCACTCATGCACTATGTACTTATGCACTTACACACTCAACAGGATAGTATGTATGTAGTGTCATCCCAAATGGCACACTAATGTTTTTTTACTAAGTGGAAATTCAAACCGTTTCCCTGATGACGTTTGACGGTTGCCAAATCAGTGAAATAAACGACCGAATTATCAAACAATACCTGCCGTGAGTATAACTGCATTCACCATCGGGAGGCGCTAAAATCACTCTCGTAGGAGAATTTTGCTTTCACCATCCAAAATTAATAAAGTTATCCAACATGAGCATCTGATAGCTCCACCCCTTCGGCTACGTAAGCAAACCTGATGTCGTTGAGTGCGTGAAGTGTCCATCATTACACACTTCATTTTACCGGCTGAATGAGTGCATCATCTGGGTAATTAAAGTGCACTTATTATTTTTAGTTTTCAGTGTGAACGCACTACTTGCACTATTTATACTACAAAATGGCGCAGAATAGTGCATAAGTATGCGATTTGGGACGCAGCTTTCATTTTAGCCACTGAATGAGTGCATCATCCGGGTAATCAAGAGTGCAATTCTGGTCTGAGAGGTGGGGGGGGGGGGAACCAAATCTGAGTGATGGTGATACTGTTGTGGAATGTTGGTGATAGTTTTAGAAATGTGCAGCAATGTTGAGTAATTGTGTGCAGAAAAGCCTAAATTTGAAAAATAACTTTTTTCGACTCTCGAGGGAAAATTATAGCATGAAGTAAAGTGCTATATCTAAAAAAAAAGTGAGGCCCCCCCCCCCCCGGGAATTGCGCCACTGCGGGTAATTAAAGTGCACTTATTATTTTTAGAGTTTTCAGTGTGAACACACTACTTACACTATTTATACTGCAAAATGGCGTAGAATAGTGCATAAGTATGCGATTTGGGACGCAGCTATAGTCTTTATCACTGTATGGATTATTATTGAAACATTGAATTTCTGCCTCCTATTTTAAACTGTGATGCTGGGTTTGAAGTAAAAATAATTATTATAGTTAGAATTATTGTTATTTTTATTCGATTCATCTCCTCTGTTCAGTGTAGTTTTGCTGTTTAGTGTTCAATGGTGTTATATAATTGCCAAAAAAAATCAAATTTGACTTATTGTACTGCGTCATTTATTATTAATATTATTTGTTGTTTATTATAATATATCATTATCACCATGAATCCTATTGGCCACCATGATCGTATGGTTAAAAAACTGATATCTTGACAGCCAATTGTTTTCACTTTATAAAACTGTATTTGCATATAGAGTTGAAGTCTGAATTATTAGCCCCCCTGTTTATTTTTTTGCTGAAATTGTTTAACGAAAAGAAGATTTTTTTAAACACAACTCTAAACAAAATCGTTTAAATAACTCATTTCTAATAACTTATTTATTTTATCTTTGCCATGATAACAGTACATAAAATTTTACTTGATATTTTTTCAAGACAGGCTGGTTAATATAATTAGGCAAGTTATTGTATAACGATGGTTTGTTCTGTAGACTGTTGTTAGGACTGCGTTGTTTTGTGTTTCTGTGTGTTTGATTTGATTTCTAGATTGGGGGCGTGCCTTCAGCGCACCTGATGCTGGTCAGCGCCCTTATTTAAACCCCAGCAGAGAGTTTGTCGGGCTGCTGTCAATTCACTTGGCAGTTGGACAGAGCTGCGCTCCAATTTGGGCATTATTCTTTGTTTCGCATCCATACACTATCCCTGACAACATTTACTGCATCCATACACTTGCATTTCACACTGATTGAACATGCTGATACTGACATTCTGATTATATAATTTTGATTGAGTTAAATACGTCTTCTTTTTGATTGTATTTCACCTTGTCGTCTCCCTCATTATGTTACATCCCTGAGCCAGGTGTAACACTATCGAACAAAAATATAGCTTAAAGGGGCTAAAAATGTTGTCCTTAAAATGGTGTTTAAAAAATTAATTACTGCTTTTATTTAGCTGAAATTAAAAAAATTAGACTTTCTCCAGAAGAAAAAAATATTATCAGACAAACTGTTAAAATGTCCTTGCTCTTTTAAATATAATTTTGCAAATATTTAAAAAAGAAAAAAAAATCAAAGGCGGCTAATAATTCCGACTTCAACTGTATGCTGAATCTTGCTTATTCTTTTAATGTCTTGTTTTAGATATAGGTATTGCTGTTATAGATATTATTTTGCAAACACATTAGTGGTAGATTCTAAAATCATGTGCTGCCCACAACTGGTAGATCATATCATAGAAGTGTTTGTGTGTGCGTGCGTGCGTGCGTGCGTGCGTGCGTGCGTGCGTGCGTGCGTGCGTGCGTGCGTGCGTGTGTGTGTGTGTGTGTGTGTGTGTGTGTGTGTGTGTGTGTGTGTTGTGAAAGTGGAAACTACTTCCAGCTGGTGTTCAGCTGAGGGTGTTTGGATGAGTCATGCTGTATGATAACAGAGCACACACACAGTGTCCCAATTAGCTTGCTTATGCACTATTATTCTATTCGTTTTTGAGTGTAACCTGAGCGTGTTCCCTGAAAATCCAAGAAACATCCACAAATTTCACTTTAAATATCTGCATGATGCACTTATTTGTTGCTGTATAGGGCACTCATTGAAATACTCATTGGGAAAACCCTGGAGTGTTACTGTGAAGTGTGTTACTGTAAAGACTTTTGAACCTTTATGACTTAAAAATATACAGTTACAGTCAGAATTATTAGCCCCACTTTGAATGATTTTTTTCTTTTTAAATATTTCCCAAATTATGTTTAATGGGGCAAAGAAATTTTCACAGTATGTCTGATAATATTTTTTCTTCTGGAGAAAGTCATATTTGTTTGATTTCAGCTAGAATAAAAGCAGTTATTAATTTTTTAAACACCATTTTAAGGGCAAAATTATTAGCCCCTTTAGGCTATATTGTTTTTCGATAGTCTACAGAACAAACCATCATTGTACAATAACTTGCCTAATTACCCTAACCTGCCTAGTTAACCTAATTAACCTAATTAAGCCTTTATATGTCACTTTAAGCTGTGTAGAAGTGTCTTGAAAAATATCTAGCCAAATATTATGTACTATCATCATGGCAAAGATAAAATAAATCAGTTATTAGAGATGAGTTATTAAAACTGTTTAAAAATGTGTTGGAGAAATCTTCTTTTCGTTAAACAGAAACTGGGGAAAAATAAACAGAGGGACTAATAATTCAGGGGGGCTAATAATTCTGACTTCAACTGTATATATTGTAATTAATGTAATTTAAGTTCAACACAAATGGATAACCAAAAAATAATAATAATAAAATCATCTGACACAATAATCTTATAAAGTTTATAAACTACAGTACATTTAACATTTAAAGTGGATCAAAAATTAAATTAAATTAAATTATATACATTAATAAATAAATTACATAATCATAAATATTTATAGTATATGCTATTGTAAAAAAAATGTTAGTATTGTTTAATATACTCATTGCTTTTAGGACAAGTCTTATGAAAGGTTTTGATCCACTTCATCATTTTTGATCATTTGGGACACAACTACAGTGCTTCCTTCTATACACTCTGAATGACATTTTCAACAATTATTAATAATCTTTTCTCTGTCTCTCCTCCTTCTTCTTTAGGGCAGTCCTGGTCCACCAGGGAAGAGGGGCAAGATGGGTAGGCCGGTAAAGTTTTGTCTCAACATACTTTATAGATACAGATGTGAGTTTGTTGTACGCATGTGTGAGAATCGAGAAGAAATATGTATTTTTAAAACGGTTGTTCAGTGTAACCAACACATTTGCAAGTGCTGTCAAGCCAATATGACGCTACGAGACATCTGCTTTTTGTCATCAATTTGACAAATAGAACTTAATATACAGGGTTATACGGTCATGGAATACCTGGAAAAGTCATGGAAATTTGACATTGCATTTTCCAGGTCTGCAAAAGTTTTGGAAAAACAGAAAAACCCACAAAGTTTTGGAAAAGTCATGGAAATTAATTTAACAAATATCTTGAACAGGGCTGCGTGATATTGGAAAAATCCGACATTGCGATATTTTGCATTTCTGTAATATATATTGTAGGGCTGCTCGATTTTGGGAAAAATCATAATCACGATCATTTTGGTCATAATTGTAATCACCATTATTCAAAACGATTACTGTTTAAGTCTAAATTATTATTGCTCCCGAGAATTTTTTTTTAAATAAATATTTTCCAAATAATGTTTTATAGAGCAAGGAATTTTAACAGTATTACCCATAATATTCTTTCTTCTGGAGGATTTGTTTTATTTCCGCCAGAATAAAAGCAGGTTTAAATATTTTGAAACCTATTTTAAAGTCAATATTATTATCAAATATGATGTGCTGTCACCATAGCAAAGATAAAATAAATCAGTTATTAGAAATGAGTTATTAAAACTGTTATGTTTAGAAATGTGTTGAAAAAAAAAACTTCTTTCCATTAAACAGAAATTGGGGGAAAAGGGTAGCTAATATTCAGGAGAGCTAATAATTCTGACTTAAACTGTATACAGTTATTTTTCTCCCTGCAAAGGAAATAGAAATAAATACAATATAATAAAAATATGAAACAGACTGTGCTTTAAGCATTTCCACTATAAGAAAAAGACTTTAGCTACAAAAGTTCTTCAGGCAAGAGCTCCGAGGGATTTTCTCCTTTTGTTATTTGATTAACAATGTTGTAAACAGGTGGCAACAGGAATAGTGCACTGTCACTTTAATGGTTTCGCTTTCATATTTCTTTTGATCCTCAACTCGTTTATTACACAAATGAGGGTTAATATGAATAACCAAACTCCGCGTTTTGACACCTATTCGACTATTAAAGCGATCACATTAAGATGACTTTGCGAATGTGTGTATGAGACCGAATGCTGACCGCATGCTTCTGACTGTGTGTGCGCGCCGCACACACACACACACACAGGAGCATGCGGCTCTGTTCGCGCTTTTAAGAGCAACAAATATGTACAACTGGAAAGAGGGCGGCAAATAATGGAATAATCGTTTATCTCGATTAATAGTTTTTTCATAATTGTTAAAAACCAAAATCGAAATAGAATTTTCGATTAATTGCACAGCCCTAATATATTGCGATGTGAATACAATTTCACCCGATGATTTAACAGGTTTTTTTTTTTGATTGATTGGGAGGATTTTGTAGAGGAGTGAATCTTGAATAATATATAACAACTAAAAACTACAAGCATAGATGAATAAAATACAATAAAGATAAAAGTGAGTAATAGTTTTCAGGGATTCACTATTCATATTGAATAATCAACACTGCATAGTCTTCATTGTATATATTATTTAATCTTTATTAAAGTAACAAAAACTTTCTTGTGGCCGGATGTTTTAAAATATTGAAATGTTCACTCAGTCACAGGTCTTAAAGGAACAGTTTATGCAAAGATTAAATTGTACTCACTATTTACTCACACTTCACTTGTTTCAATACTATAGGAGTTAAATTATATTGTGTTGTTATATTATAATTAAATTATATTCTTTTTGTGTTCATTTAAATGAAAAGAAATCTCATAAATGTTTGAAACAAGTGAAGGGTGTAATAAAATTGGTAAGTACTGTTTGGGTGAACTATCTCTTTAAAAATGCATGCAGATGATTAACTTTTACTCCATTATGAATAAACTCTATATTAAACTGTAATCTCAACATTGCATATCCTGCGAGGTGACTATTGCAGATACACACATTGCTATATCGATGCTGAAACCACATATTATGCAGCCCTGACTTAAATATAGATTAGTTGTCTTTACTTCTTCTCTGTCCTTGGCCAAAAACTTGCTCTCATATGGTTAGTGCTGTGTAAGCATTATCAAAAATCAATTTTACATGGATGTAAAAACAAATTTAAACAAAATGGATGTTGCGTGTTGATTTGCTGTAATACATTTCAACGTCATTGTTTTTCTAATTATTTACCATGTATATGCAGACATTATATATATATATATATATATATATATATATATGTATATTTATATATGTATATGTATATTTATACAACAGTTCTGTCTGGTTCTTGAATCTGATTGGCTGATAGTCGTGATATATTTAAGTAATATCAGCACCCGTAAAGCCTCTTTACCCTTTGTGTATTACTCCGCCCATATACAACCAGCAAAAAGCAGACACTACAGATCTAAAGTTTAAAAGATGCTTGCTCAACTGTTTAACTGTCAGCTTATGATTTGAATCCAATGCGGAAGAAAGTAGTTCCTCATACAAAAGGGTTTTTGAGACTCTTCATGTTTGATTTTGTTTTTATATACACAATTATGCCGTCAAACTGTTGTATAAACACAATATCACACTCGTAGCAGTGCGATATGGCTGTATATCGGCACTGGTGGGGGCACTAATGCACTTGACCTACTCGTGTGATATTGCTCATATATATATATATATATATATAATTCATTGAGGACTTCAAGGATAACACAAACTTAACACACAATCTATATACACTTAATACATCATCTATATACCACCTGTATATCTGCAGGTTAACTATGTTTATATATAAAAACCTTAACTGTTAAAAGCTATTACTAGTTAATTCATTTATTTTCTTTTCAGCTTAGTCCCTTTATTAATCTGGGGTTGCCACAGTGGAATGGACCACCAACTTATCCAGCACACGTTTTTTGCAGCAGATGCCCTTCCAGCTGCATCCCATCTCTGAGAAACATCCACACACACACCCATTCACACTCATACACTACGGACAATTTAGCCTACCCAATTCACCTGCACCGCATGTCTTTGGACTGTGAGAGAAACCGGAGCACCCGGAGGAAACCCACGCGATGCAGGGAGAACATGCAAACTCCACACAGAAACGCTAACTGAGCCGAGGCTCGAACCAGCGACCTTATAGCTGTGGTTATAAGCATGTGCAAGTAATATAAAAACACTCACATATCTTTTGTGAGTTTGTTATTTAAGATGTAGAAAGCAGGGCTAGCGTGCGCACGGAGAGACCAGTAAACGCTGGTCAAGATTGTGTGTGTTTAGAGCAGTTTGACGGATAAATATGAATTTGTAGCTAGATTGATAGCAGTGCCAAACAGCATTTCCTGTTGTTTACATCCTTGTTTACATCCTTGCTACAACAAACTGTTAATGCTAGAAACGGTGCATGTAATAGATCAATTTTAACAAATAAAAACACTTGCAGGTTGTGGCTCACAATCCCACAGCCTCTGCTATTATGGTTGGAGCTGCTCCTTCTTTGAAGAGTTTAGCCGAATCCAGCACTGAAATGGGAGAGATTCTGGTAGTCAAAATTGTCAAATGCTAGCTATATCTTTTTAAAAAATGTTTTTTAACATAATTCAAATTAAACGATAAGCACTTCTCTCTTTGTGTCATGTCCTTTGAAAGCCCAGATACAAAAACAGAAGAAGCTCAGTGGAAATAGCAGTGTTTGAACGTCATTTTAGCTTTCTCTGCTGTAACATTATAGCGCCTCCAGCCATGCCCCTTCGATGCGCAGGGTGTGTGCGCATGTATGCATGTAACCTGAGGCATTTGTGGTAGGGGTGTCAAAATGAGTTGTTCCTTCGGTGCACCGCAATGCAGTTCAGTAATAATCATAACTGGTTATTATGTACTGATGTCATTTATCTCATATGTGCTCTGTCGCCGTAGCTTACTATGGCAAGGGAAGCAATGTACTGTAATGTGTATTTGTATAGCGCATTTATTGTGTATGGCCATACACCCAAAGCGCTTCACAATCATGAGGGGGGTCTCTCCACACCACCACCAGTGTGCAGCATCCACTTGGATGATGCGACGGCAGCCACAGGACAACGGCGCCAGTGCGCTCACCACACACTAGCTATTGGTGGAGTGGAGAGACAGTGATAGAGCCAATTCGGTGGAAGGGGATGATTGGGAGGCCATGATCGTATGCCTGCTCTTTCACGAGAAGTGCCATGGGATTTTTAATGACCACAGAGAGTCAGGACCTCAGTTTAACGTCTCATCTGAAAGATGGCGCCCACTGACAGTGTAGTGTCCCCTTCACTTTTACTGGGGCATTAGGACTCACATAGACCTCAGGTTGAGCGCCCCCTGCTGGCCTCACCAACACCACTTCCAACAGCAACCTAGTGTTCCCATAGTGGTCTCCCATCCAGGTACTAACCAGGCTCAGCCCTGCTTAGCTTCAGTGAGTAACCAGTCTTGGGCTGCAGGGTGATATGGCTGTGGTAGTCAGTATTTAAAACACTCCCAACTACGTGAAAAAGCACAAACTGTGCACAATTTCACTGTGTGTGTGTTTCCTGGACTGTCTTTCACTGACACTTACAGCAGAAGCCCCTATTTCATTGCGATTAAGAGAATGAAAGTACTCCATCTCTCTCTCTCTCACTGTGGCCCATTTGACCTGTTGGCATGACTTTTCCTATTCCTCTTGGCTGTTACATCGATTCCTCTGGATACAGATACGAGCATGTGTCTGCGGAGTTTTCTCTACCGCGTCTATCATGGTGTTTAAACCAGGGTTTACTCATCTGTGAAGAGCGCCAGCCTGTAGAGCCAATCACAGCCCTTTTAGTTGAGTGTGTGACCAATCAAAAGGGTGTAAGAAAGGACTTTCTAGACAAGGCTCA